AGCCAAGCTGAAGCGTTTTGGTATTGAACAAAATGTCTTATGGGCAGTGATTTGACAGAAGAAACCCTATATTTACACACACCTCTGATTCAAAATCCACAACTAATTAACTAAACGTAATGTGGAGAAAGCTTCTGCAGTCAATTGTAATTTTAATATTTTTTCTTACATTACCCCCCCCCCATCAGTGGCGCAGCGGTATATCTACGGACTTATAACGCTAGAAACTGACATTCGATACCCGTGGTGTGTAGAGCACAGCTATCCCATTGTGTAACTTTCTGCTTAACTTCAAACAAACTGTGAAAACTTTATTATATTATGAATTAAATTTCTCCCGTCCCACCAAACACGCTCGCCCTTTCAGCCGTGGCGACGTTATAATGTGACGATCAATCCCACTATTCGTTGGTAAAAGAGTAGCCCAAAAGTTGGCGGTGGGTGGTGATGACTAGCTGCCTTCCCTCTAGTCTTACATTGCTAACTTAGGTACGGCTAGCGCAGATAGCCCTCGTGTAGCTTTGCGCGAAACTCAAAACAAACAATTAAATTTTTATAGAAATTACCTAAAATATTTACATATTTGTTTTGATTTACTTTTACATAGTTAATTTAATAAAAACACAGAACAAAGACAATACTATAAACAGTAAAGAGCTTAAAATATACTATTGAAAACGAATTGTAACTTCTGACTATGTTTTGTAACCAGTTGAAAAAGTTACATATGGTATTACATATGGAAGGAAATATAAACTAGAGTCAAACCTGAGTTTGATATGGAAACAGGAGTTTTTTTTATGCCTAGACGTTTTTGTGGGCCCGATTAAAGTTTTTTATGCATTATGAATTGAAATGCACATTGCTCTTTAAAATATGTTTTCCATCACGAACATTTGATAAAAAGAAATCATTATTGCCTAACAGCGCATGTGGTTAATTAAAAAGCTTACATCATAGAAACAGAGGATTTACGTTCTTAGAGTTTTATATACCACAGTTATAAACCATTGTTTTCATGTTTTAAGCATGTTGCTTGTAGGAAACCAAGTAATTGTTTTTGCAAAGTAAAGCTAAAAGCTTGAAGATATGTTGCACAAGACATCAAAATATAATATGAGCTCATTTTAAGGACATCTAGAAATATGAAGCAACTAAAATTAATTACCTTTGTCGGGAAAGCTTCGGACTGTGCTAACTTTGTTAGGGTTTGGCGATTTGATAACACCGTCGTTGGCTGCCTGGGTATTATACAAGTCCAGCATGTATTGTGGGGGTTTCGTATGTCTGTTTTTTCTGCCAGGACTGTTGATGTCGAATCTGTTCAACAGTTTGTTTATGGCTTCCTGTTTAATGTTAGCACCCAGTGGTTGAAGTGAGCGACAAGTAACTGGCTTTAGACCCCCCACCAGAATACATACAATACATATAAGTTTTAAAGGAACCATTGTGCCAGTAATGCACGTGAATAAAATCGACTATACGCTAAGTTAAAAATTAAATGTGTTATCCTGTCGGATAGACTGGTGATGTCTGGCTCTTAGTTCCCTAACCGAGAGCTTTATAGATCGTGGAGTGGAGTACGTACTGTCTAAATATATTCGCTTCACTTTCGCCTAGAAAGCTTCCACTGTCCAGTTGGACAGGATTTGTGCGTTTAAAGACCAATCATACGTTTGCCTTCAACAGGAAGAGCCTTAATTCACTGTGGATCCTCCCTCTACCGGTGTCAGACAAAATCTCAGCTTAATTGTTGGCTTGTATCTCTAATGACGTCATCATAGTGTTGTTCGCTTTCCACACAGAGCATGTTCGTAAGATACGTCACCGAAAACATCACACTCCTAACACATCACCTCTTTCGATGGATGGGCCTACGTCGGCTGATAACTGTTTCCTAATTGAGTAATAGACGACAGGGAACGTGCAGCTCTCAGGTAGAGAGGGATGAGTGGGGCGTGACCTTCAGCAGTATCCTTTCGGTCATTAGTGAGGTGATGGATAAGAAGTGGAGGAGAAAGTGCCAAAATGCTTTGTTCATGCAGCTACCCCCATTGCTCCTGCAATAAAAACGTTCACAGGTTCTACAACGGGGCCATATACGTACAAATCCAGGTCCGCCGCACTGTACTGTTATGTTATGCAAGTCACTCGCTAGCCGTATATTCTATGATTCATAAAATATAAGACTACGTCGGACTTAAACATTGATCTAATGTCTTGGAATAGGGGTAGACGGGCTAGCCCACGACCAAATATTTACAGTATAAAGATTAATGACTAAATTTATAATGCTCAGTTAAATGAGTTAACATACGTATTATCATAACGTATCTGTTATGCTATATGTATAATAAATTTAGTTCCTAAGTTGAAAAATAAAATACAGCTGACTGCTAGTCTGCATAAATCGTGCTTCTTCTGAAATTCTTAAGCTGCATAGAATCAGCACATAATTTCAAACTAGAGTTTATTGTTTTATACGTAATGTCAAAATATCACTGATAGCGCATTCGTAACATTGTGCGATTGACATTGTAAAATTGTAGAAAATAAAAATTGAGAGGTGTCTGTTTGTTTTTTCTTAGAGCAAAACTACTTTCGGCTATTTGCCATGTCCACCATGGGGAATATAACCATGGATTTTAACGTTGTAACTCCATAAACTTTCCGCTGACCCATCTGGGGTACTCCTAGGTGTCTCCAAGTAGGAAGAATAATTTCTGATACCGCCGTGAATTTTTCTTTTTTTAATAATCATTTTACAGCACTAAAATGTTATCCTTTTAAACATTATAGTACTCTGAAAACGATTGTTTGTTTGTTTTGTAACTAAGCACAAAGCTACACAATGGGCTATCTGTGCTCTACCCACCACGGGTATCGAAACCGGGATTCTAGCGTTGTAAGTCCGCAGACATACCGCTGTGCCACTGAAAACGAATGTCACAATCCTAACTTCTCACAATAAAGATATTTTAAGATGATTTATTCAAATTTCTAAAACCATTCATCGTATCTAAACGAAGCACGTGATAAAGGCATATCAGAACTGATTGTAGAAAGCTATGTAAAAAATTAAATCTTTTCAAAAATATATATACACCTATATTTTAGTATTGATCTATATAGATAACTTACTTTAATTACAAGTTAATATTAGTATATATACCAAACACATTTAGAGATGCTTTTAAATAAGTTTTCAATCAACAGTTATAAAAAGTTATTGTAAAATCAACAGAATAATTATATATTATTACGTATTTGTTATTAGGAAAAACTGAGAGGGATGGAAACATGATATCCATGAAAATTAGGAAAAGCTAGTGATTTAAAGTTTCAGTTGTTTATATAATATACATTAGGACTTAATGATATCTGAATACTATGTTTAGTCTATAAGTTCTATTGATGTGACGGTAAAAATAATGGCAAATAAATATTACAAAATATCATAACATTAAAAATTAATTCAACCCAAAACACCGGAGATTTAAAACTTATATAAATAAGTATTAGCAGAATTAAATGTATTATCTAGTCTGGACTTGTTGCATTCAATAGGAATTGAATATGTTACTAAAGTTTTGATATCGTAGAGTGTCTTATTAATGTGATATAAATGTGAACGAACTCTTATACAAAATGTTCTAAATCTAAGAAAAATACGGTTTGTTGTGAAATGTTGTTATATAGAATTAACTATTTTTACAAATGCCTTTAGAAGAAAAATAATAATTGTATAAAGGTATAGGTAATTCATTCTTTTGTAATTCAGATGTCCAAAATAGCGTAGAAAATTTGGTAAAGTAGATATGACAAGGAAGAGGTTTGTTAAGCACTTTTAATAGTCGTTTATTTGAATTCCATGGGAAGTGCTTGAAATGGCTATTCTAGAACATTTATTCATTCAAGTATTATAATTTGAAAATATGTATATGGTATAATACTCTCGCGTTAACTTTCCAATAACAAGTTGATCTACAAAAAAAAATAAATACTCTTGTGTTGAGTAAAGATGCATTTGGCATACATGGAAGCAGCGAAAGATTCTATTCAACCAATCATTGATATCAAGGAAATTTCCGTGGTGTTCGAGTTCGGGCTCACTTGTACATGTTAGGAAATAGAGAATGTGACCTATTCCAAAGTGTTCCCTTTTCAGGCTATTTGGCTTGCAGAGTCACTGAACGTAGGCAGCCTTCAGAGTTTGGTCGTAATTCCCGAGGGTCAACCCACGACCAGATGTCTTTCATGTGTAGTTATGTCAGGTAAGTAAGTATTAGAACAATCAGAACTTAAGTATTTTTGTTTATTACGATTCTGTAAAATACGTTTATTATATTATTGCTACTGTACTAGTCTATTAGCCAAAGGTGGATAACGCTTGTAAAACCGTGTTGAATGATCATACAAGATAAAATAATAAAAAAATATTTTTAACAACTTTAAACCAAACAGAAAAGACTATAAATCGCTTTATGATTTGTACAATAATTAAATATTACTCCTTCGGTTTTGCATAATAGCTTTAATACCAGTATATTTTATAAATGAAACTTGAAGCTGTATTATTCTTATTTTATGACATTTCATTGAAAGGCATATATTTGTACAGATGCAGTAGGCATACATAATTCATCCTTAGCGATATTTATAAACAATTATTTGGTAAAACATTATTATATATTTTTTTTATAGGTTTTGTATTGACTAGTTTTTTTTAACGTTTGTTTCAACTTTAAGCATTGCGTTAACTTGAAGTTCATAAAACATCGAAGTTAATTATATTAATTGGTTGTTTGTTTGTAATTAAGCACAAAACTACACAATGGGCTATCTGTGATCTGCCCACCACGGGTATCGAAACCCGGTTTCTAGCGTTGTAAGTCCGCAGAAATACCGCTGTGCCACTGGGGGGCTATATTAATTGAACACACGTATTCTTGTAGAACATTTTTTAACGAATGTTAAGAAAAATCATTTTAAATACTGTGTAGCTAATTATAAAGTAATATAATGAATACTTAATGCCTATTGTGCGATTATTTTCTTTTGTAGTTATTACATGGATGATCTTATATATATATAAAGTTCAAAAGTAACGTTCAATTAAAATACAAAACAAGTACATGAATGACACATTGTTTAGATACATTGTGTAGATACATTTTTAAATTGACATGAAAATATTTGAGGTTTAGTGACCAAAATACACAAATAAATGTTTTGTTGTTTTATTATGTGCACTTATGACGATCTTCGGGATAGCATGTTAAACTTACATTTGAAGCTGTCTAAGCTTTAAATTCACACAAAGAAAATATAACCTTAAATATCATTTACAGTAATAAAATGACATCAGTTGAGTTATGTTCCATAATACACGTAGCTTACTTTGATTAATTTTACTCAACTTATATGTATTACTCCATTTTTTTCTATATTCTATTTAAAGCATATGATGTTCTTTATTTTTGAACCCCCCCCCCCCTTTGGTGGATCAGCCATAAACCTGAAGGTTTACGAAGCTAAACATCGGGTTTCGACACTCGCGTTGAGGTAGCACAAACAAATTTGCAAGTTTAAAAAATTCATATTACATACATGCATATATACCTGGTAGCTTTACTAAACAGGACTAAATATTTAAACTATTTGTATTTGTTCCCAGTGGCACAGCGGTATGGTATGGATTTATAACACTAGCAACAACCGGGTTTCGATACC